GGAGGCGGCTCCTGGCAGGGGGATGCGGAGGACATGTGCTTCGGGGTGGCTTTTGCACCGGTTTATTGTGGATCTTCCCAAAAGGCTGCACTGAGCTGGGTCCTGGCTGGCCATGGGGGTGTCCCCTGCAGCTGCTTCTGCCGCTGGGGCTAATCCGCAGCTAGAGGGCAACACAGAGGGTAAGGGGGTGAAAAGGAACATGGTGCCCTGCAGCATCCCTCTGCCTGACCCCTCTGGGCCCCCTCAGGGCTTCACAGAACAGCAGAGCCCCAGCAGCACCCAAGCACCCTGCCCAAGGGTGATGCAGGTTGGACCAGGTTCAAGGCCAGGTTGGATGGGGCTTGGAGCAACCTGCTCTAGCACAAGGGGTCCCTGCCCATGGCAGCGGGTTGGAACTGGATGAGCTTTAAGGTGCCTTCAACCCAAACTAGTCTGTGATTCTATGTGGGTCCCACAGGCTTTTGCACAGTTCATGGTCTCTATGGCCTTGCCCCCACCTGCCAACTATACCCAAGCACCACTTGTGCCACCTGGAGTGAAAATCCCTGCCTGCACTGCAGGCAGGGCTGCCACATCCTGCCCTGCTCCTTCCCGGACCAGCTTCCTGGCTGGACCAGGCCTGGGATGAACTTACCCTCCTCCCAGCCCTCTGCCACTCCTGCCAGCTCGTAGTGCTTCTTGCGCAGCTCTCCCAGCTTCTGCCGCTCCTTCTGCAGCTGGTTTTCCAGCTCCAGCACCCGCACCTGAAGGACATCATGCTCACCATGGCCACCCTGCACCCTGGCACAGCAGGCATGGAGCCATGCTGGGCTAGGCACCCCCTTTCACAGCCGGTATCTTCCCAATACTGAGCCCAAAGACCACTGGGGTACATCCCATGAGTGCTCCAGTGGCGAGTGGTCGGTCCTGTGGAGGGGATTCAGCTTGGGTGGACACTGCCTGCCTGCAGGAAAGGGTTTTTTTTGTGGCCCCTGCCTGCCTGCAGGAAAGGGAACTCCCCAGGGCTGCCCCATGGCAGGCAGAGGTGGGTGCTGTGGGGCAGCCCAGTGGGCACATGAGCACAGGGGGAGGCCACAGGCTGTTGTGCCATGATGGGGACAGCATCAGGTAAGGCTCGAGGACCAACCGTATGTGGCTCCTGGGCAAACCCATCTGTTGCCTTTACACCATAGAATTTTCCCATGAGTTGGGGCTGGGCATCTGGGCAGGGTGACATCCCTCCCCACCAGGCCCAGGCAGCCTTTCATTAGCCTGAGCAAGGCACCAGCAGCTACATTTCCCAACCTCTTACCTGAGAATCCATCTCCTGACGCTTGATCTGGGTGAGTGTCATGCTGGAGAAGTCCATGCTGTCTGTGGATAAAAACACCATCAACCCCGCTCGAGCGCTCCTCCCCAGTTTAGGCCCCCAGCAGCTCCCATGCCACTGGCAGTGTCTGCCAACATGGGATGTGCAGGCAGTGACCAAGGGACAGCACAGGCAGAGACCACTAGGACACAGCAAACTGAAGATGGCGAGTGAAAAGAGCTGAGGTTTCAAGGGCAGGTCTATGCTCCTGCAGCCCCATGCTTACCTTTCTCCTCCACCTGTGACTTCCCAGCCTTGGTGGAGGCCACCACACTGGCTGTGGCCTGGTTGACACCCCGCGAGGCTTGCTGGAGCTTGCAAAGGTTGGCGCTGTCTTTGTCTGCCTTCACCTGCCGGGGCAGTGAAAAGGGGTGTGCTTACACACTGCCAGGGATGGGGCAGCCACAGCTTCTCTGGGCACCCTGTGCCAGTGCCTCAGCACCCTCACAGGGAAGAGCTTCTGCCTCAGAGCTCATCTCAATCTCCCCTCTGGCAGGTTGAAACCATTCGTCCTCCCTCCACTGGTCATGCTCCTTTTGATGCAGCCCCCCAGGACACGGTTGGTTTCTGGGCTCCAGAGCAAGTGCAGGCAGCAGCAGGAGAGCTGCTTAAGGTTCCTACCTTGGAGGCTGCCACGAGCTGGGCAGTGCTGGCTGCGATCTCCCGTGAACAGACCATCAGCTCCTCGAAGGTGCCCTTGCCTTGCACCACCAGGTCAGCAGCGTCGCTGCAGGAGGGCAGAGAGGGGCTGGAGCATCCTCCTGCTACCCCTGTCCCCTCCCTGTGGGAACAGCAGGACCCTGCCACTCCCCTCCGCTCTGGTGGCAGTGGCACTTACACCATGACAGTGGCACCCCAGCCCACAGCCTTGGAGGCGGAGATGAGACCCTCTGTCCAGCGGGAATTCTTGGCGTAGAACTCCTTGGGGGATGCCGCACCCTATCATGAGGAAAGGCATGGTCACAGGTGGGGGACAGGGAGGTGGCAAGGCCTGGGACCCCCAAACCCCTGCTCATGGGGAAGGGAGTAAGGGCTTCATTTAGGATGTGTGTGGGAACTGGGAACCCTGAATCCAGGGGGTGATAGGGTCCTCTGCATGGAAAGGGAGATCAGGGACCTCCATGACACCCTGGGGACTATGGCCAGGGCAAGACCCCGGGCTGGGGCTGGAGCTCCTGGCAGCCAGTGTGGCTGGCCCAATGGATGCCCCAATGGGTCAAGGCTGGGAGCAGAACAGCCCAGCAAGCGCATGGTGACCCCGACTGGCCCTGTGCCTTGCCCACATCCCCTACCTGCATCCCTGCCCCCAGCTCACCCGTCCACTCTCCACGATCTCTCTCTGGAGGTCCTTGGAGGCCAGGACCAGGATGCGGATGGCCTGCATGAGACCTGTGCAGGAGCCCAGGATCCTGTGAGACAAATCCCACTGAGCCCCACTTGAGAGGCACAGAGACCCCTGAGCTGTGGGGCAGCTGCTCTGTGTGTGGCACTGGCCCACATCTTGCCTGCCTGGCCACTGCTCACCTCTCATTCACTTCCAGTTTGACCCCAGTGTCACCAGCCCGTGCCTTGCTCAGCATCTCCTGGTAGAGGGGAGAGAGGCTGTGCTGAGCCCCGTGTGCCATCCTGGCCTCGCACT